CATATGTAGACTGTTTTTGTCACTGCAGAGCTCATTCCCTGGTCTTGAAAACCCAGTCAGTTGTGCTGAGGAGTAAAACGTGCAGCACCGTGGTTGTTTACCTCTGTGATGTTTTCAGCAACATTTCAGGGAACTACTGATGAAAGTGGTTCCCAGTGATGATTCATGTATAATCATCACTATGTATAAAGGAAGCTTTTGCTATGTTGGCTGTTTCGCCAAAAGATAAATCTTGTATTCAAGTGTTGCCTGTCCTGGAAGAAGTTGAAGAATGTTTCCATATCTGCAGTGCAAAAGATTGCATTTCCCCTGACTCTTCTTGCTTTTATTATGCAGGTGAGGACAACTCAATGATTTTTGACTGTACTGAATGTTATGATCCTGTTACTAAGCAATGGACAACCGTGGCTTCCATGAACCATCCCCGCTGTGCGCTGGGAGTGTGCACGTGCTATGGTGCCATCTATGCTTTGGGTAAGCTGAGGGGTTTTTCTAAGCAAAGCTAAAGATGTTAATTCATAGAACTTGTAAATTTATTTGATCTTAAATATTACATCTTGGTGATGCAAATTTGCAAACTTAAGTTTTGAAAAACATCTGTGTTCATAAATATTAATATATATACTAAATCTCTGTGTAATAGTTACTGTTTAGTTGTCATTTATTTCCATTGTAGACTGACTGCATGCTGATTTCAGAATTTGTCCTGAACAGTCCACTGTATGTTTAAAAACACAGCTAATACACAACTTTGTGCCATTAAATTCCTTCCTGTGTTTGCTGTTATTTGCAGGAGGCTGGGTTGGAGCAGAGATTGGCAACACAATTGAAAGATTTGATCCTGAAGAGAATAGTTGGGATGTGGTGGGAAGCATGGCTAAGCCCCGTTACTGCTTTGGGTGTTGTGAAATGCAAGGTGAATATTCTTAAGTTTATATCCCTAAATAGTTCCAAATGGGATTTTGAAGCTTTATGTCTCAGTCATGAATTCTTATCTTTGTCTTGTATTGAGCTGTCAATCACACACAATTGTGCCTTGCTTGTTTGTTGTTCTAATACTCTATTTTTAATTCTGCAGAATTCAAAGACTATAAAGTTCTCTCTTGTCTTCTGCCTTTTATCTCATGAAAAGTTTTTACATGGCTGCCAGTATGGTTATGCAGCTAGTCTTTTTGCAGTTGATTGTTCTTTCTGATACCGCTTTTATTTATCTTCCATATTTGGGTTTGCATGTTTCTCTTTGTGGCAACCTGAAGACTTGCCACAGGTTATTTTAAGACAGACATGTCTAAATACTTGACCAATAAATGTGCTTACTAAGTATTTGATCCTGGCCAGGTCAGCAGTTGCAACCCTCTGAATGAACCTTCCCCTCACTTAATTTTTGCTTTCCTCAGAGCTTCTAGTGCTCAAGCTGCTCATGCAAAAGCTTTATGTATGCTACTACTGAGCAAAAGGAGGATTTTCTGTCATTCTTTAACCATCTTCATGTCAGGCTGAAACTTGTGACAGTAATTTTCTGTCTGCATTATGAAGCCTAAAAGAGGAGAAGCTCTGTTTCTGCAGGTTTGATCTATGTCATTGGTGGTATCAGCAGTGAAGGAGTAGAGCTGCGTTCTGTTGAAGTCTACGACCCCATCTCTAAACGCTGGTCTGAGCTGGCTCCAATGGGCACACGAAGAGCCTATCTTGGTGTGGCTGCTCTCAACGACTGTCTCTATGCTGTGGGAGGCTGGAATGAATCCCAGGATGCACTTGCTACTGTAGAAAGATACTCATTCGAAGAGGTATGGCAGAGTCCCTTTTTATAAATGTAGATTGCATCAGCTTTGTGTAAGATGCTATAGAGCCTGCTTCCTTTCTTTAAAAAGAAAAAGCTGGAAATTCCATTTCCTTTTTACTACTGCCTGGGCATCGTGAGTGAAACAAAGCTTTGGTGATCTCAGGGTCTGTCCTAAGTATTGTCATGGTTTAACTATGCACAGATATACTGCAGTTTGGTAAATACTTCTTAGGGTTAAGAAGAGAGAATAGATTCCTCCTCTGCAATAGAAAGGTCAATAATTTGAATAGAGAGGAAAAACTAATTGTAAAGGTAAGAGTTACCTTTTATTGCAAAATTTGGGGATCTTCTTCTGCATCAAAATGTAGTGGTTTCTAGTGTTTCACCATGACTAGAAGATTTAAAAATTTTCCAAACTGTTATTGTTCATGTTTTTATGATGCTCTTTGGAAGAGTAGCTACTCTTAAAAAAAGAACATAATCCCATGTGCCATCTGTTTTGCTTTTGAAATTGAATCTAGTTTTCCTGTTTCCCCCACCTCAGACTGTACCATGCTCTATTTTAGAGACTGACTGCATCTTGCAGTGACTGAAGAAAGGGAGGGGTGTTATGTGCAGACAGTATGGGGTCTGCTCTTTAGAGATTACCACAATTTGGACCCCTTGTGAAAGTGTTGTCATTCCTGTCTTGGTAATCCTCTGGATACTGTACACATAACACATGTAAGCCTGTGAAGTGTATACAGTGTTCTTTGTATATGTTTCATTCTTTAAGCTTTAAAAGTTACTTTAGCAGAATCAGGGCTTGCCTCAAAGCTATTTCTTCATCTTTTTGTTAGGAAAAGTGGGTTGAAGTTGCATCGATGAAGATCCCAAGAGCTGGTGTTTGTGTTGTGGCTGTGAATGGACTTCTCTATGCCTCAGGAGGCCGAGCTCCCAGTCCTGATTTTGCTGCTCCAGTAACCTCTGACTCTGTTGAAGTTTATAACCCTCACATGGACAGCTGGACTGAAATTGCCAACATGATCACCAGCCGCTGCGAGGGAGGTGTAGCTGTGCTGTAAAACACAAAGAAGAAAACTCATTCAAGGAATGAGTAAATTATGTCTCCTCAGATTTCCTGTTTCATTGGCCAGAAACCTCTTTCAACACAGGAGCTTCAGTGGAGAATTAGATCAGAGGGATTTTCCTGAGCAAAAGGAAAAGCCCTTCAAAGTAAATTGGCTTATCCAGTGTCTGTCTCAGGAATTATTGTGTTAAGAGTAGGAATGCCTCTTACACTGGACTAAGCTCACTGAAATAAATGGTGAATTTGCCCTGTAAAAATCTGAAGAAATAATTCCAACACATTAGAGACATTAATCAGGTTGCTACTGAGGTGGCACTTCAGCCAGACTTGCAATCTGGAAGTGAGTTACTGCCAACAGGAAGGAGTTACCTGTAGGTAAGACCAGATGGGCAATTTGGATGGCATTAGTTCTTTTTCTGGCAGAAAAAGAGAAGATAACACACAGGATAAAATTGATGCCTCTATTTACGACCTTGATGCATTTAAGCTTGGACATGGTGGGCATTAAATATGAATTGGATCTTTACTTTCTGGCCACTTCACAAATTAGAATGGTGAGTTGATGAGAATTTCCTGTTCTGGAAGGTTGTCCTCACAGTTCTAATAATGCCATTCCCCTTCAGCACTGGCTTTTCTTCTCAGTGGTGTCAGTGATGCCAGTAGAGCTCCTTTGTATGTCAGCTCTGGTGAATTTTAAATGCAAATGCTATTCATTAGATTGGATGTTCTGTTTAGGACTGTTCTTAGTATAAAAACACAGGGAAAGGCTCTTGCCCCCAGATTTTTTTCCCCATAGTCAAATGTGTTTTTACCCTGTGTGACACATGCTGAGACTTGGCATTGAATACTTGCTGTTCTACAAGACACACCCCTTCACCTTCACTACATCTTGTATCCTGCCTCCTCTAAATTTGAGCCAGTGGAGCTTTCTATGATAGAATCAGCTGCATTTAGCATTGAAGAAAGATATTGTGCTCTTACGGAGTTTGTATTTAGCTCAGACACACTTAGTAAAACAATACTACAAAGAATTTGGGGTTATTTCTAGATTCATTTAATTAACGTGTTTGAAGTTGCTTTTTGCACACTGTGTCTGCATTTTCAGCACAGCTGTGGATGATTTGGTTGGAGTCTGAAGTGAGGCTGCTTGAATTTTGATAGGCAGTGTTATTCTGGATCACCAAACCACAACTGGAATGTCACAAAACAGGAAGCCTGGCACTGTGTAGACAAAGGAGCATTCATGCTGTTTAGGTCAATATCCCCTGTGTAAAATTAACAAATTATTACATGAGAAATCCTCCAAGGTGAGTGTTGCAGATACCTTAATAGTTGAGGTCCTGAAATCTAACATAGAGTTGGGCTAAAACAAACTAGATGATGGAGAGTCTCTCTGATTGTTCCATAATCTTGTGTGTGCTTTTACTTCAAAGTATTTCATATGTATCTGAATTAATGGTTTGATTTTTTTCAAATATAAGTTTGTTTAAACTGTTTTTCATAATAAAATGTATTTTCAGAACTGACTGGAATGCTCTTGAACAGGTTGCTTTCATAACTTAGTAAGCTGTATTACTGCCACTTCCATATAATAGGTCATTTTTTCTTTTTATTGGGAATCGTATTTCCCAGTAGAACACTAGGGAAAGATTGGTTATAAATTTTGACTGTTTGAGTGGTGGAAGTAACATGCTTCTGCAGTAAAATACACATGTATTTCTCCTCTCAGTGTAAAATCACTCAGACTTTTTGGGAGTCTGTCGTGCCAGCTCTACTCAGCCCTCTGTGGGATGAAATTACTGGTAATGTTTCTTAGTCTTTCTTCATTATATTTCAGGATCCCTCTTGGAACTGTTTGAGAAACACTACCTTAGCTGTATTTTATTAGTTTGGGAACTACAGGTTTACCTCTGACCCCTACCTGTAAACTTCCTGGTTTAATGGAGCTTGAGGGATCTGCAGTTGTCTGAAGTTACCTTCTCCAGGCTTTGTAACTGATTCTGTCATGTCTGAATAAAACTTTGAAGCTGGTTGATTATGGTCTCTGATCCTCAGCACCTCTTTTACCTAATCAAGACAAAGACAGGAGTCTTCTCTGGACCCATCTTAAAAGATGCCATGTCTAAGTAAGAAAGAATGGAAAAACCATTTTCATCCACAAATTCAATTTTATTTCCTTTATGTTCAGAAAGCTCCGAAATATATTGTTTAATAGGGTACTTTCATAGTTCAGCATACAGCAATTGGTACCCATAATTGCTTAAAATTGATACCCTTAATTGCTTTTAACATAAAACTGTTAACAGATTGCAAAAGAGAGAGGCTGATGTACAGAGCTGCTGTTTCAGCAACATCATACAAGATGGTTTCATCTCCAGGACAGGCAGGTTCCTTAAACATCTGTTCTTTGCTGAACAAACAGGTAACAAATTTTAAGGGACAACATGTGCTTTCTTTGGTGTAGAACAACAATGAAGAATAGTGCTATAACAGAACTATGAGGATTATCTGGTCCTGAGACCACATGTGGATGTCATTTTCAGCTTTCTTCCTGCATCTTACACTGTACTTAAATGCTTCTGATAAAAAGCTTACAAGAAATATGCCCACATCCCATTTCATAGTTTCTTGAGGTAGCTGACACAAAAAAAGAAAATCCATGTGACTTAGGTTGTATCTTCCACTAACTGATGTGCTAGGAAGAATCAAGTACAGAGAGCACATGCTTCTGCAGTGGTTCAACAACAGCCCCATCATGGAGGGTTTGCAGGGCACCTACAAGCCCATTGGTGCCTGTCCAATTGTATGGATTCTTAGGAGGGAGAACACAGAAGCTACTTTCAGTCCCATTATCTGATCCCTTAGTGCCAGCACTTCAGCCCTTGTGTCATAGCATAAGTTAAGAGTCCTTTAATTTAGGAGTATGGCAGATCTTTATGGCTGTGTTGCACACAGCTTCCTTTGCCAAGCAGCCCTAAATCCAAACAAAACCTAGGAACAGGTGGCCCAAATAGTCTTTCTAATTTCAGTAAGCCTGAGCAGGAATTTGACCTTCCATCTCCTGTGGCACCTTGTCAGCCATACAAAGCTTCCTCTTCAGCTTTTCCCCACTCCAGCACAGCAGCTGAATGACACATTTCAGGGGAGTGCTGACCTTGGCTTGCAAATAAACCTCACCTGTCCTTTCTTACCTGACATCACACTGAGACTTCCTCACACAGCACCCCTGGAAGTGTCCAGGCTGGGTGGGGCTTTGAGCAACCTGATCTCCTGGAAGGTGTCCCTGTGTACAGCAGGGGATGGGAACGAGACAATCTTTAAGGCTCCTTCTGACCCACACCATTCTGTGATTTTCAGCACCTCCTCTGAAAATAGGAGTGAACAGGAGTCTTGTTCCTCCACAACACAGCAACTGAGTAGTATGTGCTTCTGCATAATTCTGTTACTTATTTAAACACCAAACTAGAACTGCTTTCACTTTGTTACTGTTTTTTTCCCCACCTCAGAACATGATCACACATTAGTCAAACCAGATGCTTTCATAGTTCAGCACAGACTAATTCATACCCATGTCATTTTGAATCTCCATTCTAAATTCCTAGAGCAGCAACATCTCATTCAGGAGTGGTTCTGTTCTACAGATAAGGACAGACTCGTGCTTGCCTTGGAAGTAATTGCTATTTACAATACTTCCCTCCTGAACTAGCTTCAAAATCAGTTGGAAAATCATTTTGCTTCAACAATAAGCATCTTGATCCCTGCCATCATAAGACTTCTAAGCACAAATCAGTCTTTATTTCTCCTGGAACTCCATACAAATACCTTATTAGCAGATAATAGCTTTTCCTTACAGATTTATTACTTTGTGTTCTGCTGTATTTTTCTGTCATCACTTTGCTCCCCTTCTAAGACAGCTTTCAGTGCTACAGTGGCCAAGAGGGATGCTATCATCACCACCGTCCCCCATGCCCTCAGTACCTTGAACCACCTGGGGTAAGTAGGAAGCAGGGAAATGTCATAATGCAGGGCTATCCCCAAGGCCACCGTGAGCATCAGGGCTCCCTGAGTGGCATCTTTGAGAAGCAAGGCCTGGCAGGCCAGCAGAGCAGGGACTGTGCCGTTAGCCAGGTTCAGCCAGTCTGGCTTGGCCGGGCTGTTCTCCGGGAGAGCAAACCCCCACCTCATTCCCCCCAGGAAGGAGGCAGTGGCAGCACCATAGGCCACCTGAGCCAGGGCCAGCCCTGGGCTGTAGGAGCCCTGCAGAGCCATGGCCAGAGGCACGGCCACAAAGGGAACCAGCCCCCCCAGGCTCAGGTACAGGGCTGGCTTGGGACAGTCCTTGAGAGATCCCGGGCTTCCTTGTGACTGTGCCTCAGAGTCTGCGGGGCTTTTCCTCTGGGAGACGGGCAGAGAGGCGTGGAAAGCCCGGAGCTGGGCTGTGTGAGCTGCTGGTGGCTCGAGGCTCAGAGATGCTGACAGAGGATGTGCATGTCCCCAGAGCTGGAGCGGGGCCAGGGAAGAGCAGCCAGTCCTGCTCCTCCCGCGGAGCAGCACGCCGGCACTGCGGAGCTTCTGCAGCTGCAAGCACAAAAGCTGTTCTGAGCAGTGCACAGGGCAGGCTCACAGAGCTGCAGGCACCTAAACCACCCTGAATGCTGCACCAGTGGCTCTCCAGGCCAGGTCACACCACAGCTGCCTTTGCTTTTCAGTTCCAAGTGGTTTTAACTGAACCAATGAAGGCACCTGGGCTCTCCAGAGAGCACAAGCAAAGCTCACTCAGTGCCCACCTTCCCCTCCCCACTGATGTACCTTCACCACACTGAAGGTATCTCAGCCCTTTTCAGAGTAAAATATAAAACAGTTTCATACAGAAGCAGGATAAGGTCACCCCAGAAATCAGCTACTGTCCCCTCCCTGCTCCACCAAGAAGTGATAGGGGAAAAAAAAGACTTTGAGACAATAAAACTTGATTTTATAAAAGAAATAGCTTTGCCTAAAAGTGCTGAAGAAACAATGAACTACTCCAGAAAAGCTGAGTGATGCACTCCAACTTGGAAGCCACTTTTTTTTTTTCAAAGCTGCAGTCCTATCTTTTGCTATTTCACTTTAAAATAAAATCAGCAAAGAAAGCCTTCAGTAACTTACTTTGAAAGGTGTGTTGAAGCAGCATCGTTGTATGAGAGGAAACATATTTGTTTTCTCAATGCCCTAAAACAGAAAAATTCAGAAGAAGGTCTGAAACTGATGAATGACTGAGTTGGTCTGATGCCCAAAGTTTAGTCACAATCTACACTTATCAAAGAGTCTTACAGGTATATACTTAAAGAAAAATGTATATATATAGATACATTACATATGTATTCAATCAGTACTTGCCCACTTGAGAATACTTCGCTTCAAGCAGCTTTATGAACTGAAATTTTAAAGTTGTATGAACTGTTGCAAGAACAATTTCTAGTTAAAAAACGGAGTATCAGGGAACAGATGATGGCTTCCCGTTCATGGATCATTCCCTCTTCAACTGAGAGATGGCAACACAAAGCTCATAAAGGAGCACTTCCTCACGCGCAGGAAAAGCGATCATTAATTGAAGAAGGAGCAGACAAGCCATCCCATGCAAGCTGCAGGTGAGCTCCCTGCCGGGGTACGACACTCACCGGGGGAACGTGGGCAATTGACTCCGCAGTTCCCGGTGCTGCTGCGCCGGGAGAGAAAGGCGGCTCCGGCAGCCAAACTGCGCTGCCGGAGGGCGAGGGGAGCGGAGAATGTCCGTGCAGTCCGGAGCAGGAGGGGCCGCTCTGCCCACCGGGACCGGGCCAGACCCGCCGGCTGTGGCGGCTTCCGGTGCTCCCATAAACGCTCCGGCGGTGCCCGGTGCTCAGCGCTACCCCTCCGGGCGGGAACCGGCACGGCCCATCGTGTTCCTCCGGGCCGCGGAAGGCCCACCGAGCCGGTACCGGGGGCAGCAGTGCCGGTCACTCTCAGCCCGAGGGCCGCGACCGGTCTGGCAGAGGAGCGACACGGTCCTCTCCTGCCCGTGGGACAGAACCTCTCCTGGGGAGCAGTGCGGCCATTCTTGCTTTCTGTCTTCCGGCATCACCGCATCGGGCAAGCCTTTCGGAGGCGAACTACAAATCCCAGCCTGCCCTGCGGCGCGCCGCCCGCCTATCTGCACGGCGGAGATGGCGGGTACTCTTCTGGGACTCGTAGTCTGCGGCTGCTTCCGACAGGCGGTGACGGGGGCGGTGCGAGCCGCCGCCTCTGATTGGTGGTGTTCCTTCCGCGTGCTCGGCCCCGCCCCGCGCGCGCGCGGGCCCCGCCCCCTCCGGCCCCCGGCCGGGCAGGGCTGGGCGGCCATTTTGGGCAGAGCTTTGTTATGGTTGTGGGGCCGGGGGGGGCGGGCCGGGGCGGCGGGGGAGTCCCGGGGGCCGGGCAGGGGCGACCCCGCTGTAGGCTGGCAAGGAAAGCGGGCCGTTCCCCCTGGGCTCCTCCCGGGCCGCGCTTCCCGGCTGCCCCCGGCGGGAAGGGGCGGTCGGCGGCCGGCAGTGACACGTGGGCTGCGGGCAGCCGGGGCTCGGCTCGCTGTGCCCGCTGCCAGCCGCGCTGGGAAACTTGTCAGGTGCCGCTCGGTGCCTGCTCGTGGGCAAGCAGCGCCCGGGCCCAGCGTGAGGCGGCTCCGCCGGCCGTCAGAGTTATTTCCGTGTGTCCGGTGTGTTTGATGCCCCCTTGGCCTAAGGTCTTGTGTGGTTTGACTTAGAGGGCTGGGGCTGGACTTGATCAGAACGTGCCTAGCTTTTCCAGTATCCTTTTAAGACTTTAAATTCAGTCCAGTTTAGTAACGAGCTGTTTTGGAACGATTTTAGAGCAGTCAGTAGGTGTCTGCACAAGTTACGAGTTTTTAAACAGCTTTAGAAGAGCAGTAGCTATTTAAATTCTTATAAGTAATGGTGGAATGGTTTAAGAGTGTTGCTTAAAGATCTTTTTATATTAACGTGACCAGGTAGGTCGGCCTGCCTTTCCCCGCCCCCGAGCTGTGAGTGACACAAGTGTTAGTAATGTTGATAATACTCTGAAACGTTGCGAGTGCCTGAGCAAAGTGTGGAAATAGCGAAGAGGGGGAATGGAGATAACAGCTGAGATAATTGCAGCGCCATCAAAGCTGAGTTTACTGTAGGGTTGACATTGCTTCTATAAAAATGTTAGGTGGTTATGAAAAAAGCTTATGCAAATGCTAGTTCATGAATGAAGATGGCTGGTGTTTCAGTGCAAGGTTCCCCGTAAAGCTTATCCCTTTGGAGACCCGTATCTCAAACTTCCAGTTTCTGACTCGGGAAGGAAACAGGTGTAGAGCAGTGGTAGGAGCAAATAAAACTCCCAAATTCTTAAAGCAGCTTTTCCTCTCACACTCTTCCACATCATTTCTGGAGGAAAGTCCCTTTAAGAAGAACTTATTGAAAGTTTTTTATTTGGAATAGGAAGGCTTCAGGTGATACTTCCTTATAGCGTTGGGGTTTTTTTACAACTGTTTGTAGGGAAGTGCAGCAGCCCTCTGCATTTTATATTCATCTGGTTTATAGCCTTAATCCTATATGACACAGAAGTTTCCATTGCAGATATCATATGAGGACCTAAAGTGAAAATATGCAGGGAACAGATGGCATTTTAAAAAAACCCACAAATCCTGTTTTTTCTGCAGTGTTTCAGAAATATGAGGAGCAGAATGCAGATGTGAAATACAACAAATCAAATGGAACTGCATACTTTCTGAATGTTAGGAAAAGAAATCTTCACTTTGAGAATATTTACAGGGTATGGTCACCTTGTGTCACATATGTGACTGCTGCATGGTGTTACTGAATCTTGACATTCCTGTTTTAAATTAGGAAATTATGTCACTACAGGAAAAATAATATTCACTAGCATTTTCATTAAATGGAAATAGTATTTCAGGAGTTGTGGGATCCTTATTTTAATACAGAAAAATGCTGTGGTTAGATCTGTGAATTTCTTCAGGAGTGTGGGATGTCAGATAATGTAGTTCTTGCCTTTACAAAGTGAAGAAAAACTATTGGCTCAGGAGTTAAAGTTACCTTTTTCTCCCCCCAGTGTTACGAGTTGTTTGAAGTTAGTTGTGTAACTGCTGAATTGACTTAGCTGTGAAGTGTACTCCAGGGTGTGCTTTGTTTGTTTGTCTGTAGGAAGAGATTTGGGAAAGGGCTGAGTGTGTTCAGTAGAGCTGAAGCTTTAAAGCACCTCTCTCCTGCAGAGTGCTGGCTGTGCTTGCATGGACACAGCTTTTCCTCACAGCTCCATAGAAACCAGGGGGTGACTGTTGCTCCAGCTTAGCCAGGGACAGGTCATACTTACAGGATTTTGCACTTGATGATGAGGTAGTGTGTGTACCAGGAAGTTTGTCTGGGATTTTTGAGTTTTGTGTTAATTTATTTGTAGAGGCAGGAGGGGTTTAGTTTTGGTTCTGCAAATTCAGCAATGTAAGTAGACATTTTACTGTCACTTACGTAGTGACCAGGATGCCAACTAAATCATGTGTGGCTTTTGTTTCAGCAAGAGGAATTAAAGTCCATGTTCTCTTTGCTCGTCAGGTTTGATGAAAAGCAGTGAAGTTGCAGAAATGTGGTCCTGCTCAGAATACTTCATGAAAGCCAAGATGTTGTTTAATTTGTGTACTGTAACTTTATATGTTCCTGTGAAAATGTGCCAAACTTTAATGAGTTACTGTATGGTCAGAAGATAAATCTATGGTTTTGGGAGTGGATTTAGGTAGAGATTGATAGTGACTAATTGTCCACTGCCCTGTACATGTATGTGCAAACACTGGGCAGACCTAGAAGTTCTGGGTTAGACAGGGCTGTGAGCATGACAGTGAGCAGGGAGGGAAGCATTTTGGCTTAATTGATCATACATATTAGTGATCAGGCTCCAAACTGGAAATTCTTGACTGAAGTGTGCAACTCCTTCTCTAGCTGGTCTTTGAAAGTCAGGAGAAGAATTTTCACACTTGATACTACTTAGACCTTTCTATTATTAAACAGCAAACAGTTTTGCAAAGTGTTGGTGTATGCAGTTCTATAATATGACTAATCTGAAATAGTTGCACTTCCAAGGTCTGGCTTAACAAAAATGCTTTGAACCAGTGCAGCCAAACATGACTGAGGTTTTCTGCAATAAATGATGCTCAGAAAGAAATATTTTTACAGCATGTGACCTTGTGCCTCAGGGACTCTTGTACATTAGGGAGTTCGCCAGGAGCAACTGAAGTTCTAGGACTTACAGACATTCTAGCAAAAATGCCAGTGTTGATTTGTTTTCTCCTTGAATCTTGTGATCATTTCCAGTTCAGTGTTTTGCATAGTTTTATCCTCCACACTGGAAGGAGGATCACAGCTCTGTGGTGTGATGTTAGTGGCACTTGATAAGAAAGTATGCGTATAATGTTGTCTAAATGTCCTTGGTTTTAAGAATCCCTTTTTTTTTTTAATACAGGAAGAAATGAGACATTTTAAGTTTTATTTTTGGTGTCTCTTCTAGGTTCTGGATTCTGTGTAACCCCCTCCTCATAACATATTTGCAACACACAGAGTATGTGGCAATCAGTGACACTCTCTTGGAATTTTGTCATCTTCAGTTTGTGATGAACAATTAACTTGTAAATAAAGGACTGAGTCTGCCAGGGAGGTACATGGTATTATTCTGGGCACAGAAATTATTGGTATTCACAAAGTTGCTGGTGAAGGTGTATGGTTAAGATTACAACAGGTCTCCAGCCTTTCAGCAGAGAGGAGGAGTGTTTTGCCATTGTGTTACAATGCGTCATCCATCATCAAGGGATTAATCAGAACTCACGTGAGATGATCTGAAAAGACCTTTGATGTTAATCTTAAAAAAACTCAGCAAGGATCTCTCATCCTGAAAATATTGAATGTGTTATGTTCTTGACTGTTAGTTTGGGGAAACTGCCTTTCTTCTACTTTGAACTCCTGTTAAAAGTAGAGAAATGGGTTAATGATAACTTCAGTGTCTTCAGGTTGACTGGGCCTTCTGGAATGTATCCTCTGGTGTTTAGGGAGCTGAGAGCCTGTGGGGGTGGAGAAAGTTCCAGAATGCTGAAGAGTTGAGGAGCATTTGCCCTCACAACATCTAGAAAAAAGGCAAGACTTGGGTATGTCCGAGGGAAGAGTGTTCACATCAGGGAGTCTGTCCTGTATCATGTACTTTATGGTGGTTTCACTTCCCTGTATTGCAGTAGTGTTCTTCCTGAACACACAGATAATGTGATCCTAACAAATTCAATAAATGGTCTGAAAACAATAGCTTTGGATTCAGCCATTTTGGTGTAGATGGGTTCAAATTACTGTGTTTTGGTGTATTGCCTACACAGACAAGTAGCAGCTGGTAGGGAAGCAGTTCTGTGGGGGAGTATCCTGGGGGTTGTAATGGTTCCTAAATTATCATGACTCAGCAGCATCACTGTCATGAAAATTCATTTGTCATACTGGAACATACAGAAGCATTTTAAATAAGGCAATGAAGCAGTTTCTCCATTCTGCTGAGGAGTGGTAGGTCTTCAGCAGGAGCTCTCTTGTTCAGTTTGGGATAATGCGATATTTGGGAAAGTTATGGCTGTGTAACAAGATCTGTAAAGAAAATAAAGAAGTCTGAAAGAGAGAGACCGTAATTAAGGACTGGGGGAAAATGGATTGTTTAGCTCTTCAGTGATTTTATACATCATGTTACATCAGACATAAGCAGGTGATATATAAAGCAGCTTAAAAAAGGTACCTGCAGGTATAACTGGGAGGCAGCTCTGACATGCTGTCACTGCCTGGGAGCTGTCACACTTGGTAGGTGGGTCACGTCAGTTTTCATCGTTGGTGCTTTGAACTTGAAACTTGATCTTTGCCAGTAAAATTTGACTGGTTGAGGGTGTGTTGTTTGGTTGTTGGTTTTTTTTTGTTTTTTTTTAGAAAAGCATGGCTATATTTTATCCCAGAATATGATAGTAGATAGTTGGGGTTTTTTTGGTTTTTTTTTTTTTAGAAAAGCATGGCTATATTTGATCCCAGAATATGATAGTAGATCCTTTTTTTGCTGCCCAATAGTGCTGGGATATAGGGTGGTCTGTGGGACTTCC